GGTTTCTAGGAATGATTGATTTATTTCACTGCTCGAGTCGTCTCTGCTTTCACTAGCTCAGTTTATATTGTCCTGTGGAGTGACAGATGGGGTTTTAAAAGTAGAAACCGTCCATGGAGTAACATAGAGTATGAATCAGAATCAGGAGGAGCTTTATTGTTGTATGCTTGAACGAAAGGTGAGTATGGCTCCAGAAGCGTCTGGAAGAGACACAGAATAACAATGAGCAGTGTTGGGGAAAGTTAAGCTACTTTTAAAAGTAATGCGTTACTCCATAAAAGTAACTAATTGCGTTACTTTAGTAGTTACTTGAAAAGTAATCTGATTACGTTACTCACGTTACTTGTAATGCATTACCCCCAACACTGACGATTAATGTCTAAATGTTATAAAACACATATTCCGTGTAGAGATTTTTATTCACAACATAATCTCTCTTAAAATACTTTATAGGGTTATGATAATCAAAAAAGTCCTGAGCTAGATCAAGCATTGATCTCTGCAAACCAAACTATAACTTGAATTAATTAAACACTGCAGAGCTGCTTTAGAACAGAAAATCAGGTTGTAATTCTAACTGAAAGCGACACGGACTCTGGTTGTTCATGTTTAATTCTGTAAAGCTGCTAGATTTAAGGCTCTATAGTGCTTTATAAATAACCGTGAGGTGACTGGACTTCACTGGAGCGCTGAAACATCCACATCTCTGTAATCAGATGCTTTCTTAACTGCTGCTTTCTCACCGCTGGCAGCTTTTGTTGTGTTTATTTTGTTATTGAGAGGAAAGCGCGCAGCATATATTTACATATTCATCCAAACGCCGCTCAGCAGCTTCAGGTTCGGCTGCGTTTGATCTGATCTGAAGCGCTGCGTCTTCTTCTCTTGAACTGCATCAGGAGAGCTGAATTACAGTCTTGTGCTACAGCGCCACACTGGTCTAACCCCATTACTGCAGGCTCTTACATTAGCTCATATGAGATCAAACCACTACTCCACAACAAAAATATTTGTAGACAATATTTAGTTGTCGATAATGTCCACTAACCGTTTCAGCCCTACTGGTGAGTAGTGCTGTGTTCAAAATATCGATACGACGATGTTTCTCTATTAACAGTGAAGCTGTGGCTTTAATTCCTTTAGAAACAATGATGCTACCAGCTCCTTGTTGAAAAAGATAATGTAGCTCTTGAGCGATTAAGCTATTTAGTTGATAAAACTGTGGGGCAGCGCTAAAAAGTTTGTTCCTGGATGTCTGAGTTTGGCTGCAACGTGATCTGTGTGTGTGACTGCACTTAACCAAACTGCTTCTGTGTCACATAAATGCTGGCACAGACGTGCAGGTTCGGCTAGAGTTGCTTTGAACTCGTGCATCTTCGGAAGCGGAGCTGCGCGGAAAGTTACAAAAAATGTTGTGCACACCGCCATGCGAAACGACGTCGCACGCACTCAAAGCGAACTTGCTGACGCTCGAGTATAAATCAGCCTTGAGCGTGTGAGCGTTAGATACAGTGAAGACAGCGCGTTAGTTTAGAACTCTTCTAAAAAAAAAATTATTGTAGAGAGTGTGTTAATTTGTGCAATGATAACCTACCAGCAATGTAAAAAAAATTTTTAACATATTAGAATGAGTACATTACAGTATAAAATTATTAGAACAAGTACGTTACTATTTATGGGCTTAAAAATAAGATGCAAACAATCAGAATATTGTACCTGGTGGGGATGTAACATGTAAACATGAAACATACGCCATTACCTTTATTGTACTGTGATACAGTTATAGAGGCGCTTCATAATGCGGAGCTCAGCTGCTGCTCTGCCTATAGTTAGAAATGGCACTATAGTAAGCAGTGTTTAATAAACAGCTGTTTTACTAAATTCTGCTGAGGTGAAATTCAGTGCAGTCCTGTATCGTATCGTGGCCTCTGTATCGTGATATGTATCGTATCGTGACTTTGCTGGTGATACACAGCCCTACTGGTGAGCCACGTCATGTCCGACATCACGCATTTATGCACATTTACTACTTTTTTTTTTTCATGTTCCTTTTACTTTAATGTGAAGAAATTATTCTGTCTGAACACCGTGTTACCCGAAAAAATTAGCTCAATAAATGCTATTAGGCATTTATTTATTTTATCATTGGTTGTTTTGTTTTCTTTATGCAAAATATAAATTGATCATCAACAATTTTTTTTTCTTTAAATTTGTGGTGAAATATGAGCACCTGTATGCTTTTTATTTACGATTTGATTTGTCACCGTTTCTTGATTATTTTAGAATTTTGTTACTTTCTTTGATTATTTGAATAGGTACATATTTATTGACATTTCATATTTATTAATTCGATGGAAAGCAAATGAAATTTCTTTTCTCAGGTTTACAAATTAGATCATTGAATGGTGCAAAATTATGCTTGTTGATTGATTATTTGTTTAAGTTGTGTTTTCGGTATTGTTGTTGTGAGAAGCACCTGTGTGTTTTTACTTGTGCTGATTTGATTGGAGTGAGAGGTGAGGTGTTTATGTGTGTGTGTGTGTGTGTGTGTGTGTGTGTGTGTGTGTGTGTGTGTGTGTGTTTCAGGTGACGGTCATGCACTCGATGCAGGCTGGGTATCTGGAGAAAGCCCAGAAATACACTGATAAAGCCCTCATGCAGCTGGAGAAGCTGAAGAGTGAGTCGCGTCACATCACAGAGACTCGTGTTTGTGTGTTTGTGTGTGTGTGTGTGTGTGTGTGGTAACTGATGTTCTGATGTGTGTGTGTGTGTGGGAACTGATGTTCTGATGTGTGTGTGTGTGTGTGTGTGTGTGTGTGTGTTTCAGGTGACGGTCATGCACTCGATGCAGGCTGGGTATCTGGAGAAAGCCCAGAAATACGCTGATAAAGCCCTCATGCAGCTGGAGAAGCTGAAGAGTGAGTCGCGTCACATCACAGAGACTCGTGTTTGTGTGTTTGTGTGTGTGTGTGTGTGTGTGTGGTAACTGATGTTCTGATGTGTGTGTGTGTGTGGGAACTGATGTTCTGATGTGTGTGTGTGTGTGTGTGTGTGTGTGAGTGTGTGTGTGTGTGTGTGTGTGATAACTGATGTTCTGGTGTGTGTGTGTGTGTGTGTGTGTGTGTGATAACTGATGTTCTGGTGTGTGTGTTTGTCAGTGCTGGACTGCAGCCCCATCCTGTCCTCGTTTCAAGTCATTCTGCTGGAGCACATCATCATGTGTCGTCTGGTGACGGGACACAAGGCCACAGCGCTGCAGGAGGTGTGTGTGTGTTTGATGGAGCGGTGTGATGCTGCTGCTGCTGCGGTGTGTAACGTGTGTGTGTGTGTGTGTGTGTCAGATCTCTCAGGTGTGTCAGCTCTGTCAGCAGTCTCCACGGCTCTTCTCCAATCACGCGGCTCAGCTCCACACGCTGCTGGTGAGACCTAACTCCACCACATCACAATCATCTCTGCTGGAACACACAAACAAATACCAGCTAACAGTGAACTCTTTAAAAACAAATTTAATTACAAATTTTCTGATAAAAATGGGATTACAATTTAAAAAGCATTTAAAAGCAAAATCTGGTTTGCTGTGCTTGTTTTTAGAGCTGCACAATTTGGCCAATGTGTTTTGATGAAATTAATATAGCTATTAAAATGATGATGATAATTTATAATAGTTTATTTATAATTTTAAATAACAAAAATAATGCATAATTTATTATTATTACAATTATTGTTAATAATAGTTTTATATTACAAAAAAATATACAAATTTATAAAAACAAGAAAAAAAAATAATAATTTCATTGTAAAATAATAAAAAATGATTTCACTTTACAGCTGTAAAATCAATGATAATATTTAGTACTGCCTTAATTTCTTCATTTTCAAACTTTTATTTGGAGCCCTTAAAGATTCTCTGTAGTTGATGTGTGCTTCATTACAAGCTTGTGAAGATGTTTGGCTCGTGTTGCATTTTTCAATTAAAGCGACTCGACCTCACAGCAGACCCAGGTGGAGTTCACGTGACGCTGAAAACACCAGATCATGAGCTGCTCGCGTGTAAATGAACACAGTGACATGCTTCACTCTGAAACACAGAGCAGATATTTAAGGATAATCACACTAAACTATATCAGGATTCCAGAAATCCAGTCTCTTCAGTGGATCAGTGAAGCGCTCGTATCGTCATGTGATGTGTTTGTGTTTCAGGGTTTGTACTGTATCTCTGTTAACTGTATGGATAACGCTGAGGCCCAGTTCACTACAGCGCTGCGGGTGAGACACGCAAACACACTGTTCTTACAGACGTGACCGAGCCGAGCTCATTCATTCATTCATTCATGTGTGTGTGTGTGTGTGTGTGTGTGCGCGCAGCTCACCTCCCATCAGGAGCTGTGGGCGTTCATCGTCACTAACCTGGCGAGTGTGTACATCAGAGAGGGAAACAGACATCAGGAGGTCAGTCGTCATAAAACACATTACTAACATCATCAATAATCATCAATAACTCAGTGTTCTTCTTCTGTCTTCATTTGTGCAGCTCTACAATCTATTAGAGCGGATAAACCCGGACCACAACTTCCCCGTCAGGTACCACCGATGATGCACACGCACACTCACTCACTCCCACACATACATACATACACTCTTACACACACACATTGAACTGATTCGTTCACACAGCTGATTCATTCAGAAATGAAGCAATTGACTGTCTTTATGTATGAATCACTAAACCATTGGCTCACTTGATTTGTTCAAAACTGTATGTTACTCTGAGACTAATGAATTGATGAATTTTACAACATTAACACGTTTATTTCTGTGAAGCTGCTTTGACTCCGTCTGTACTGTATAAAGCACAGAGTTTTTTCAGCCTTCATCTCTGCTGTTATAAACTTGTGAAGTTTTGTGTTTCTGCTGTGTTTCCAGTTCTCACTGTCTGCGCGCCGCTGCCTTCTACATCCGAGGCCTTCTGTCCTTCTTCCAGGGACGCTACAATGAAGCCAAGTGAGTTTCCTCTTCCTGTTCTCAGACCCGTGTGTGTGTGTGTGTGTGTGTGTGTGTGTCTGTAAGAGTGAGTGAGTGTGTAAGTGAGAGTGAGTGTCTGTGAGAGTGAGAGAGAGTGTGTGTGTGTGTCAGAGATGCTGATGATCACGCATGTGTTTGCAGGCGTTTCCTGCGTGAGACGCTGAAGATGTCCAATGCGGAGGATCTGAACCGTCTGACGGCCTGCTCTCTGGTGCTGCTGGGACACATATTCTACGTGCTGGGGAACCACAGAGTAAATCACACACACACATTGACACACACACACGTCTGGTTTGCTATCCTTGTGGGGACTCTCCATAGGCGTAATGGTCTTTATACTGTACAGATCGTATATTCTATTGCCCTACACCAACCCTACCCCTAAACCTACCCCTCACAGGAGACTTTCTGCATTTTTAGATTTTCAAAAAAAAACTTCATTCTGTGTGATTTATAAGCTTGTTTACCCGTGGGGACCACAATTTAGGTCCCCACCGTGACACAAGTCCCCATGAGTCTGTGTGTATTCAGGTTTACGTCCCCACCAGAATAGAAAAACAGGTACACACACACACACACTCGTTCATGAGGAACTGTGTATCAAACACTGTAGCTCTCAGCGCTTCCTCCTCTCTCAGACCAGAGCGTTTGCCCAAACTGTGCGCTGCTGGTCATTGTGTGTTTCTGCTGTGTGTTTGTGTGCAGGAGAGCAACAACATGGTGGTTCCTGCGATGCAGCTGGCCAGCAAAATCCCAGACATGTCTGTGCAGCTCTGGTCATCAGCTCTGCTCAAGGGTCAGTTCAGCAGCACACACACACACACACACACACACACACACTTCCTGTCACAGTAACACACACACACAAAAATATGTGTTGGTCAGAAGCTGAAGTCACGTGTCCGTCTGTCCAGATCTCAATAAGGCCTGCGGGAACTCCATGGACGCGCATGAGGCTGCACAGATGCACCAGAACTTCTCCCAGCAGCTCCTGCAGGATCACATCGCCGCCTGCAGCCTTCCAGAACACAACCTCATCAGTGTACGCTCTCTCTCTCTCTCTGTCTCTCTCTGTCTCTCTCTCTCTCTCTCTCTCTCTCTCTCTCTCTCTCTCTCTCTCTCTCTCTCTCTCTCTCTCTCTCTCTCTCTCTCTCTCTCTCTCTCTCTCTCTCTCTCTCTCTCTCTCTCTCTCTCTCTCTCTCTCTCTCTCTCTCTCTCTCTCTCTCTCTCTCTCTCTCTCTCTCTCTCTCTCTCTCTCTCTCTCTCTCTCTCTCTCTCTCTCTCTCTCTCTCTCTCTCTCTCTCTCTCTCTCTCTCTCTCTCTCTCTCTCTCTCTCTCTCTCTGTCTCTCTCTCTCTCTCTCACACACTCACTCACTCACTCACTCACACATACAGGCTCACTCGCACACCAGTCAAGAGAATGTCTGTCCATCATTATATCTAATAGTATTTTGCATTTATAATAACATTTATGACATCATATACAGCACTGACAGCACCATTAGTGAGACGAGTCACCTGACACAGCTTGTGTTTTAATGTTTGATGGGAGGAATGTCTCATAATTAATTTCCACATGAGAGTTGTGTTTGTTTTGAATGTGTCTGATCGTGTTCTCTGTGTGTTTCAGTGGACTGAAGGCCCTCCACCTGTGCAGATTCAAGCTCAGAACGGACCCACCACCAGCCTGGCCAGCCTGCTTTAAACACACACACACGCTGTACATACAGGTTATCCACACACTCTCTCTCTCTCACACACACACACACACACACGCGCAGTACATACAGGTCACACACACACACACACACACGCGCTCAACATACAGGTCTCACACACACACACACACACACACACGTGCAGTACATACAGGTCACACACACACACGCGCGCTGTACAGACAGGTCTCACACACACACTCCGTACATGGCCTTATTTAGACATGACCATGAATATCCCTCTATGAGCATGTGTGTGAGATTTTGGGTGGAGGGGGAGGTCAGCATGCATCTGCAATCGCAAATGTTGCCAAAGCTGCATTTGAAATCATCTAGACAGAACAAAATGCTACATGTGTGATATGACGGAGCATGTTGGTATTCATTGCTTACTCTGAGCTAGTATTAATGCTGGGGCAGCAGATACGTCTTTGTGAGAGTTTATATTCCAGATGGCTGTGTCACGGCCATGAAATCAGAGACGTTTCATAAAGATAAATCATCAGGCACTCGATGATATCAATAAGAGAATCTCACGATATGACAAAGCAGTCGCTGAAAAAGAAGAGTTGTAACTGCAATACTATGATTTTTAGTGCAATTATGTATCTCATAATGTTGTTTTATGTTTTGTGATGTGGTGCCGAGCAGGAGAGTTGTTCATGGCTGACGGGCGGATGAAGGAAGCTCAGTTCTGTGTGCAGGAGGCAGGAACTCTCTTCCCCGCCTCACACTCAGTGCTGCTGCTCAAGGGCCGCGTGGCCGAGCTCAGGGGCAACGACACGGAGGCCAAGAGCCTGTATGATGAAGCTCTTGCCATCAACCCCAGAGGACACCAAATACTGCTGCACCTGGTCACACACACACGCTGTACATCACACACACACTCTCACAAAAACACACACGCTCTACCTACAGGTCACACACACACGCTGTACATACAGGTCACACACACACGCTGTACATACAGGTCACACTCACACACACACACACACACTCACACACACACGCTGTACATACAGGTCGTCCTCACACTCTCACACACACGCTCATGGGCTGTGTTCAGAGCAAGGACAGATGGGGGTCAAAGGTCACAGCAGATCTGTGTTTTAGTTCAGAGTGTTTGTGTCCTGCTCCTCCTCGTCTGTTTAATTGCTGTCGTCACACATCGTTCCTCAGACGGGTTTAGCTGTACTAGTTAGCAGCAGTAACCAGCGCTGCGTCATTCAGTGTGCGAGGATGAATCTGCAGCATCCTCCGATCGATAAACTAGAGACAAGTGACTCTGAATTCATAGTAACTCCTCAAACCTCATATTCACCACAAAATAAAACCGATTTCAGTCAGAAAAATGAAGCCTTAGGTTTTAGGAATTATTTTTTTTTTTTTTGCATTGTCTTTTTTAACCCTTAAATTCTCATTATTGTAATCTTAATTTTGTTGACATTTCAATTATTAATGCATTATGGTAGTATTTGTTGTACTTTGTTCTTTACAGGATTTATGCATTTACAGTAATGATGGGGAAAACAATCTTCAAACAGGCTTCACTTTCATATGATTTTTCATTATTCTGTGGTGAAGATGGAGGTGTTTAATCCTGAGCTTGTCAGAGAAAGAGTGTCACAGACTGCAGGAAGAGGATGTCATGTGACCAGCAGAGGGCACCACGTGTCTGGCTTATGTTCAGCTTCACTCCCATAAACACTGAATCTGAATCTGAGAGCAGTTTGTGAAGCTGTGATGTGTGACGGCAGTCTCCTGATATTTTTACACGCGTCTCATTTTGTGCTTTTGTTCTGCACCTCTCATGTTTTACTCTCTGTACAAACGCTGTGAGGACAGTCAGAGGTATTCACCTCTTCCTCTGTAGTTTTAACAGATACATTTATTACATTTTATAAAGTTTGAATATTTATATACTACATTTAACCATGTTATAATCTTTGTCATTATTTTGATTTGGAATAGCCTTCGTTTGTATAAATGTTATGAAAACTGTTGATTCTGTAGTTTATCAGACGCTTTAGTAAAGCTCATTCTGCTCTCGGCTCAGCCGCCGCTCTTTCTGATAACTGTTTAAACTCTCATATTTCTTTGTGTCTTTGTGCTTCAAAATCATCAGGATTTCTTAAATAAAATTGGAGAAGTGTATGAAGGATCCTGTGTGATTTATTCGGCGTGTTTCAGATGTTGACGTCACTCGATATGAAGAGAATCAAGAGTTCTGCAGCGTTTGTGACTCAATGTTTTATTCCACAGAAAATGATGCAGATTCATCTTAACATGAGAAAAAAGAAATGTAGCACTGCATCAGTGTCTCAGCAATGGATGCTCTGCAGTGAATGGGTGCCATCAGAATGAGAGTCCAAACAGCTGATAAAAACATCACAATAATCCACAGCACTCCAGTCCATCAGTTAACATCTGGAGAAGACAAAAGCTGAGACACATCCAGCATTAAGATGATTTTAACTAAAATACATTGAGTGCATAATCCATAATAACTCTTCCTGCAGTGAAAAAGTGCATCTGCTGTTGTCTCTCACATCAAAATCCAGCCACATATGTGTTTAGAGCTGTTTAAACACTGCTTGATCTGTGCAGATTTCTCTCCTGATTCACACCAGAACACTGACTCACTGGAGGAAGAGTTATTATGGATTATGGACTCTATGTATTTTAGTTAAAAGCGTCTT